AAAAAAAAAATTTTGAAAATTTGAAAAAATGGGTCGGCGGGTTATGCAAAACGAAAAATTAACTTTGCGTGGCCTTAACTAAAATTTGGACCTTTATTTCTAACACTAATCTTGGTTTAAAATTGTACCCTAGCCCTAAAAACATATGGGTGTGCTTTTATCTCCGGCTAAATGTAATAATTTTCTTTTGTCAAATAATTAAATTATTCAAATACAGAAATAACCTTTTCTCAATCCCTCTTATGTGTTGGTTTACTATTTCCCATAAACAACGCTGAAATAGCACCATATAGTATGATAAGCGTAAAGGTGAATTGAAATGATTCCACATAAGCGTGAATGACCAATGGCCGTGTATATGGTGGTAATGATTGTATAGTATATACAGATTGTGTTGAAAAAGTTAAAGTACTTAATTCTTGAGAAAGTCTATCATTAAATGCTGCTTTTGATATTGCAATTCCAAAAACAGTCCCAACTAAGGAAAAAATATAGATAATGAATAAGTAAAATAATTTAATAATATTGTTAAAAAAATTAAGCTTTTTGTTTTAATACTTACTGCTCCTAAAGAATAATGATAATGTAATAACAGAAGCTACATCCTTCGGCTCAACCAATCCATGAACGCATAATATAATAGATTGAATACTTGCACCAATTCTAGCACCACCAATTAACATGTATTCTATAAATTCATCATATCCAGTATTTACTTTCCACATAGCGGTTAATCCGGCACCGATTATTGTCAATGACAAAACAATTAGAATCACTAATCGAAACCGTATTTTGTTTGTTCGAGAGAATAGTTGACCGGATAGGATTGAGAAAGCTTCTACAACAAGAATATAAGGCATGAAATCTAAGCCGGATTGTGTAGCTGCTTAAAAAGAAATATATAGATTGTTAAATTTATTTGATGTTTAGTGAGTAATATGAGATTCAGTTGATTGATATACTTGCCTGAATCACCTTTTACTACTTGGAAGTAAAGTGGTACATAAAAAACATAACTAAAAAATACCATTCCTTGGAAAAAGCTTGTGAGGAAACATGAGACTACATTAGGATTTTTAAATAAACGTGCTATTAAACGAAAAGGAAAAAAATCATTTTAGTACAAATCTTATAATAGATTAATTATTATAATATTTCTTGCAAACAAATCAAGCCATGAATACTTACGTGGAGCAATGGGTTCAGTAACGATATAATACTCAATAAGACCGAATATTATGTAACCGAATGCGCCGACGCATAAAAGTATTATGATCACGGGACTGTTCCAAGGATAAGTACTGCCACCCCAATTGAGAAATAATACGATACAAACAGTTGATGAGATCATTACAATGGTGCCGATAGTATCAACTCTCTTAATTTTATCAAGTAATGAACCGGTTGGTGTTGGCAAGTGAAGAAACCTAACTACAACGATTATTGTTATTGCACCTAAAGGAAGATTGATGGAGAAACACCATCTTTGTTTGGGTGAAAATAAATTTGGCGATAAGTTTTACGATTGACAATAATATTATTATTAGAGTTTTTGCACCAATAGTTAACCACCCTTGACATGCGTACCTCCAACTAACACAATCAGCAAAAGCACCACCCATGAGAGAGCCTACTACAGAAGCAACACCAAAGCATGTACCAATAATGCCCTGGTATTTTCCCTGATCTTTAGAGCCAACAATATCTGAAATAATAATTAAGACGAGACTAAAATAGAAAATTAAAATAAAAAATTTAGCATTTATAAAAATTTGATACAAATCAATACATCAATGAAGGCGTACCCAATGATACCACCACCTCCGATACCAGCAATTGCACGGAATATTATCATCGAAGCCTAAAAAAAATAAAAAGTTGATGAATATTCAAATTAAGAATTGAGATAAAAAAAAAGGATAAGTCATATTACCATATTGGTGGCAAAACCACATAACAAACTGCCCAATTCAAAAATGACAATTACAACTAAGAATGTTGTTTTGCGACCAAAAATATCAGATAATTTTCCATAGATTGGTTGAAAAGAAGTCTGTGTCAATATCATGATTCACGTGAGTATCACATGGTAAATAATTCGAACGAAGTTGAATCAATATATAATATTATTACCGTTGTGAGTAGATAAGAAGTTGCAACCCATGCAATTTGATCCAATTCATTAAAATTTGAAACTATTTTAGGTAAAGAGGTGGAAACAATTGTTTGATCTAAGGCGGCTAAAAATACAGCACATGCCAGACTATAATAAGTAAAACTAAATTAATAATTTTGATAATATAATGATAACTAGAGCTTCAATTCGGATAAATCCGTCATTCATTTATCCGTATCATTCGGATCATTCTGATCAAAATATCCGGATAATTCAGATAGTTTTTCGGATACCAATTTCCAAGGGAAAATGTCCCTTCAGACTTCCAATTACATTTTAACCGGACACAATCCTTAATAAATTAGATAGACTGTGTCCGGTCAAAATGTAATTGAAAGTCTGAAGGGACATTTTCCCTTGGCAGCACTCAAATGGATATCCGAATAAATTCAGATCGGATACTTTGGATAATGGATAACGATATCTGATAATTATCCGGATAAATGGATAATGGATTGGAACTCTAATGATAGCAACAGGAAATTAATCGCCACGAACCCAAAAACAACTAAATATAATTCAACTCCATGTATTAAAATATCGTTAGACGATGACGAGCTTTTGCCTTTAACAATCTGATTATCGACATGTTTCTAGTTTTTATGATTACAGTTGCATCTAAAACTAACCCCGCTTGACGTTCAAGGTCTATTTCATCATGTGATGTGGATTGATTTTGTAACATTTTTTTCGTAACTGGCAATTATTATGTATATATTATGTATGCTTTGTATGCCTTGTATGCTTTGTATTCTTTGTATGCTATGCTATGTTTAAATTATTTTAATAGTAGAAATTTAGCTAACTTTAACTCTTGGTTAAAAATTATAAAATTTAGGATTAGGGTTAGATGTAGGCTAGAATAAGGTTTTTTATAGTGCTGAAGATAAAAATTCGATATGCGCATTTATGCATTGCACATAAAATTTTTTTTCGCACAAAAAAAATTTACAGATGCGCGTTAGCAAAACATATAAAATACGCAGCATGCGCACATGGTTTTTTCAGTACAGTAAACAATATGTGCGCTTGCGCACTAAATTTCAAGCTTAAATTTGAACAGTTTTATTCAGTGCGTCAAACATAGTTATTTAAGCTATTTTAGAGTTATAATAAGAGGGTGGTTACATTAACCGGGGGCAAGTTAGCAATATCTGAATAAATAAATGGTTACAATATTTTTTTAAAGTTTTCTAGCCGCAAATATTTAATTATGTTTTATGAAAAATTGAACCGAATATAGTTTCAACCAATCAAAGCATTTCGGTACGTATCATTTATGGAAAATCATTTCATAGACATTTCATTTCATAAACAATCAAATTCATAGAAAGTTCATTTTGAAGCGCTTATTTTATTGACAGTTCATTTCATAGACAATCTTTAACAGCGAATAGATGATCTATTGGTCTTTTTTGGATAATTTAATTATCAAAACAATTAACTTGAGATGATTATTTTTTGGTAATCAAATTATCCAAAATAGATTAATAGATTAAAGTTATTCACCGTTAAATATTATTTATAAAATAACAATCTGTAAACTAATGTTTTCAAAATGAATTTGTCTATGAAATGATTGTCTATGAAATAAAATGTCTGTAAATGATTTTCTATAAAATGATACGTACCCAATTAGGATGAGCTCTTAATGGCGTAACGTAATCCAGGAATGAAAATCAGTGTGTAATTGTCCTGGTATGTGCTTTTTGACAGGTTTTATAATATTGTAATAAATTCAAACATTTCTTGATATCTTTTTACCTTAGTCTCAATTTTTTTTTAATAACTGAAAAAAATCACGTTATTAGGATGAGGCCCGTAATGAATTGTTACATAGAATTTTCTTGGATAACTTCGTAGGATATCCATGGCGGTAGATCACATGTTCTGAATGCAACGTGAAGATATTCAAGGATCTTGAGGATATATGGTTAATCTCTGTGATGCGGGGATTATTTCCACAATTGTAGAATTAATTTCACAATTGAGGAAATGATTAGAGATGTTAAGTTGGAATGTGCCATATACTATGTAAATTAAAATTACATGTGGCCATATAATAAAATTTATTAATAAAATTTTTTAGATAGCGAATTAATTTTAAATATAATGTAGTAATAATTGAAATTTTATATAGAGGCACAAATCCAATGGTTTAATAGTCTTGGATGAAATTTCGCAAAGACAGGTACTACATTCTAAAACAATGCTACAGAGTCATTTCTTTAGAAAAAGAAACTAAATTAAATTGTTTCTTTTTGAATTTTTTTTAAGAAAAAGATATAATAGATCAAAAATTTTTCATGTTTAAATAAAAGAAATAGCTTTATAGACTTACTTGTAAGCTTGTCTCTGCGAAGTTTTATACAAAATAATAAAATTATTAGAGTTATATACCTATTTAAAATGGTTCTACCACAAAATCCCGACATCCAAAATCTCGAAACCATAATCCCGACGAGACAATTAAGATTTAAAAATTAGTAATCACATTAACAATCATTGTCAGACTTAAATTTTTAATTGTCACGTCGCGTGATGTCAGTGTTGTGGCCTGTCGAGATTTTGGATGTCGAGATTTTGTAGTAGAACCGATTTAAAATTACTTCTTTATTTAAAAAAATTATTAATAAATTTTACTATATAATCACATATATAGTATATTGAAAACTTTAATCTTTAATATTAAGTAGCATTTCTGGTTGGTTATAGTTAAGCTCTTTGTATTTGCAATTTTTGATAAATTATATATAGGTTTATAAAATTTTATTAAATATAATATATTATATATACAAGTTGTATTAAAGTTCTTTAGACAGTTTAATAGTAAAATTATTTGTACTAATTATATATAAATTTTAGTTAAAAATATTTTTTTTAAAGATAAAATTTTGCTTTTATCTTTATTAATATTTTGTATTAAAAATCTATTAAAGACTCCTTTGGCTAGAGTCAAATTACAAAAATTTTTAGCAAATCTGAAATGTGTGTTAGGTTTGTGGCGCATGTAGATCATGTCACAGTGTTGTTACACAAACCACAGCCAATCAACAGATAGTATAATTTTCATAGCAAAAAAATCAATAATTGTGTATGATATACAAAAATATTAATATATTGATTGTTGTCACAGATAAAACCATGTGCTCACCAAATTTGAGAATCATATGGAACGATGCATGTTGAATGTATAAATCATTATACAAAATACAGTTACACTGCGATGCCCTAGGACCCATGATTTTCACATATCAATCGTATACAAGTAAACCTGTTAGAACTAGGCCCTCTGTATGGAAGCATTGAATGACGATCCTATGAAAGCCAAGCTCCATCAATGATCCATTGAAGAATAAGATGCTTACCTGATTCAGTTGATGGCTATCAAGGCAATATTATCTTGTTGGATAAAATGTGTGGCCATAAAAGAAAAAACGGTTCATCTATAGTATAACGTGTACTAATACACTCGATGATCACATCAAATATCACATTATAAATAAGGTTATAGA